ATGTTGTATAGTTATTTGATTCCCATATCCTTGTATGTATCAATAGAAATTGTCAAAGTTCTTCAGTGCACTTTCATAAACCAGGATCTGCACATGTACTATGAGGAAACTGACCAGCCAGCCCTAGCCCGTACTTCGAACTTGAATGAAGAACTTGGCCAAGTTGATACTATACTTTCAGATAAGACGGGAACATTGACTTGCAACTCAATGGAATTTATCAAGTGTTCCATTGCTGGGACTGCTTTTGGGCGTGGAGTTACAGAAGTTGAGAGAGCTTTAGCCGGGAGAAAAGGCTCATCTAAGTCATCTTTAGCTGAAGAGGTGACAGAAGAAGAGAGTCATGTTGAAGACTTGACTGTCGCCAAGTCATTGATAAAGGGCTTTAATTTTAGGGATGAAAGGATCATGAATGGCCATTGGGTTAATGAGCCTCGTGCAGACATAATCCAGAAGTTTCTACAGTTACTAGCTATCTGTCATACTGCAATACCTGATATTGATGAAGAAACCGGAAGAGTATCATATGAAGCTGAATCACCAGATGAGGCAGCTTTTGTGATTGCAGCAAGAGAGCTGGGGTTTGAATTTTATAATAGGACTCAAACAAGCATTTCGGTGCATGAGTTGGATCCCATTTATGGAAGGAAGGTTGAAAGGTCAGCTTCTTGCACTTGGACTTTTTACTAATATGGATAAAATAACTTTACTAGATTCTCTGTTCTAACATGTTTGGGTTTTTTTTTTTTTTTAAATTTATTTTTTACTGCAGTTTAGCTGCTATGATATATGTTGTTCTGAAGCTATTGTTGAGTTTTTGTCAAATAAATATTTAAGTGCATACATTTTATTTTTTGTTCTCAGAGCTTATAAGCTTTTGAGCATACTGGAGTTCAGTAGTTCTAGAAAGCGGATGTCTGTGATCATAAGAACTGAAGAGGGAAAGATACTACTGCTTTGTAAAGGTGCTGACAGGTTTGTAAACTTATTCCTCGCTTGAAAGTGTGTGCCAAAGTTCATTTTACTATGGTGCTCCTAATTTCAAAAGTTGACTAAACTTAGAAAAACATGATATTTATTTGTTTATCCCACAAGCAGTGTCATGTTCGAAAGACTTGCAAAGAATGGGAGGGAGTTCGAAGAGAAGACTAAGGAACACATTAACGAGTATGCTGATGCTGGTTTGAGGACTTTGGTACTTGCATATCGTGAACTTGATGAAGAAGAATATGTTGAATTCGACAAAGAATTTACTGAGGCCAAAAACTTGGTTAGTTCAGACCGGGAGGAAATTGTCGAGCAAGTTTCAGAGAAGATAGAGAGGGATTTGATTCTTCTTGGTGCTACTGCAGTTGAAGACAAACTTCAAAATGGGGTGAGTTTTAACTTACATTACAGTGAAAAAATGACTCAGATACTTGCATAAATGTGTTGTAAAGTCTTGGTTGTCAGCAAAACTATTACTGCATAATTGCTTTTGCCTCTAATTACTACATATTTTTAGCTCCCAAGCAATCCAAACATTAGTACATATTGGTTTGTTATGTTCAGTAGTTAATACAGGTAATGACTTTGTTGGAGATTTGTATTTTATTCAAGACTAAATTTCATTTTTTTGTTCTTTCTGTGCTGAATAGGTTCCTGAATGCATTGACAAGCTTGCTCAGGCTGGAATTAAGATATGGGTTTTGACTGGAGATAAAATGGAGACGGCAATTAATATTGGGTATGATTTGTGACTGATTTGTATCAGTAGATGGATTCCAGTATAGAAGCATTTCTCACCGTATACCTTTTCATTGTTGTTGCTCCTTCCAGATATGCATGCAGTTTGCTTAGACAAGGAATGAAACAAATAGTAATAAGCTCAGAGACTCCAGAAGTTAAAGCATTAGAGAAGGTGGAGGATAAGTCCATGGTTGCCAAGGTAAATCAAGTTTCTTATGGGATATTTGTTTTTCCTTTTGTATTGGTTGTGCACTAAAGGTAGTTGATAGGAAGGGCGAACTTAGGGTTATAACAAATCTCTAGGATTGTCCCTTTCACTTCAACAATAATTGTCCACTATACAAAACAACCATGGCAGAGAATATCACTTGCACCTAGGACTTTTTTTGGTCACTGCATTGACGCTTATCTAGTACATTTCTAGACACTTGTTTTGGTCACTGCATTGACGCTTAACTAGGACTTTTAGCATGCTAGTGTTTGAAACTGTTATCTCCTGGCTGATAACTGTCATGCTGTGGGTGTTTGATGAAACCTTTCTGATTCTTTAGGCATTGAAGGAAAGTGTTGTCCATCAAATAAATGAGGGAAAGGCTTTGCTCACTTCACCAGATGAGAACTCTGAGGCATTGGCTTTGATTATTGATGGGACTTCACTCGCATATGCCTTAGAAAAAGATGTCAAGGACCTCTTTATAGAGCTTGCCATCGGTTGCGCATCTGTTATATGCTGTCGTTCATCTCCCAAACAGAAAGCACTTGTAAGTTCCCCTCCCCCGAAATAAGTTCCAACACGTCTAAACCATTTGCTTGGTCTATGATTTTAAAAAGAATCAAGTCCAAAATAGTTTTATTTAAAATAATGCAGGTTACAAGACTGGTAAAAGAGAGAAATGGCAACACAACTCTGGCAATTGGTGATGGGGCAAATGATGTTGGAATGCTTCAAGAGGCAGATATTGGAGTTGGTATCAGCGGTGTTGAAGGAATGCAGGTAACTGCTTAACAAGTTGCACCAAGTGTTTTTGTTGCATCATGAGTTGCTCCCATTTGAAATTTTGTTTCTCTTGATGAATTCTGACTTATCCTTTCTGCCAACCCAAAATTTCAGGCTGTCATGTCAAGTGATGTTGCAATTGCACAGTTCTGTTTTTTGGAGCGCCTGTTACTTGTACATGGACATTGGTGTTACAGAAGAATCTCGTCAATGGTAAATTCTTTTCTTCATAAAATTTGAATCTTAGCTTTTCATGGTATTTTATTTTGTATTAATCTGTGATGGATCTAGAATCTTTTGTGGATTCCATCATTCTTGCTAGACAACTGTTAGACCTCAGAAGCTCAAGTTATTAAGAAATGATCTCACACTAACACACTGCCTCAGGTGCAATCCCATCCTGTGCGTGGAGAGGCAAAGAAATGCAGACTCCTTATATTTAGAATCTAATGTGGCTTTTTTAATTTTATTGGTCTCAGAAAAGCTGAAATGATTGACATACTCCTTTTCTTTTTTGACAGATATGCTATTTCTTCTACAAGAACATTGCTTTTGGCTTTACTATTTTCTTCTTTGAGATTTATGCTTCATTCTCGGGACAAACTGCATACAATGATTGGTATCTGTCACTATATAATGTCTTCTTCACATCACTTCCGGTAATTGCCTTGGGAGTGTTTGATCAAGATGTCTCAGCCAAGTTCTGTCTCAAGGTGGGTCCATGCACTTATGCCTTTTATTTGTCATTTCATGTGGATTGAGATTTTGTTTTCTTCATAGAAGCTTATTTCACATCAGAAATAATTGGTTAAAACTGAATATGTCCTGTGTCCATACCTAATATCATATGATCATATGCTGATCTTTAGTCTCTCTTTGTCTTGTCTCAATGTTACAGTTCCCTCTATTGTACCAAGAAGGTGCACAAAATGTCTTATTTAGCTGGCTCCGGATACTTGGATGGGCAATGAATGGGGTACTGACTGCTACCATAATCTTCTTCTTCTGCCTTGTGGCAATGGGTAGTCAAGCTTTTCGTAAAGGTGGGCAAGTTGTTGGTTTCGAAATCTTTGGGGCCACGATGTACTCATGCGTTGTATGGGCCGTGAACTGTCAAATGGCACTATCCATCAATTACTTCACATATATTCAACATCTCTTCATCTGGGGTGGCATTGTGTTCTGGTATATTTTCCAGTTGGCATATGGAGCCTTGGACCCTGACATATCAACCACTGCCTATAAGGTTTTCATTGAAGCCTGTGCACCAGCTCCATTTTATTGGCTTCTCACTCTATTTGTTTTGGTATCTTCCCTCCTACCATATTTCACTTATGCAGCCATCCAAATGAGGTTTTTCCCCATGTATCATCAGATGATACAATGGATAAGAACAGATGGGCAATCAGATGACCCTGAGTTCTGTCATATGGTGCGCCAGAGATCCATAAGACCCACAACAGTAGGTTACACAGCCCGCATTGAAGCGACATCTAAACGCTTTGAAGAGAAGCTCGAGGGCCTTTAATTTTTCACATTCTTATCATAAGATAATGTACATTATTTCCAAAGAGGAGTTTTTTCTCTTTTACATATTGATTTAAGAGTGTCTTGTAGTTGTGCTCCATGACAAGCAAATGTGTCCCAGAGATTAAGGTTTGTCCTTCCAAGTTTTTGCTTAGGATAGTTCTATGTCTAGAAGCTAGAAGCTCCAAAACTGTAGCTTTGAATTTTGGAGTTCATGTAGAGAAAAGTCTGGTCAACCTATTGTATCATGTATGATGTATCAGATGTACCATAACGCACAATATCAGCTTAATTCAATTCAATAAGAAATTTTTTTTTATTTTTATTGTATCTTCTAGCTGATGCTATTGCTTCCTAAATGACTATATTACAATCTTTCTCTGCTTTACAAACTAAGAAAATCTCTTCAGCAGAACAATGTATTTCTTCTGTGAAGTAATTCTTCTTTGGGCATCGTCGTCCCAAATCCAAGAAAGGGAAACTTAGGAGTACCGCAATTCAAGGAAGGTTGAAGCAAAGATGACTGGTTAATTTCTCAGGAAAAGAAAATTAAGAAAAGGTATCCAAGAGATATATACCAATGCCATTGTGCATAAACAAATCTATAAACAAATGCAGGTTTCAGATTAATTCTATAAACAAATCTAGAAAAGAAAGGATTAGGTCCTCCTATCACCAAAAAAAAAAAACAAGAATTCTGTAGGCTAATTTGGATCCCTGTTCATTGACAAGGGATTCTTTTTCAATTATTTGTAAACATAAAACTAATAGCAACAAAATTATCCAATGAAATGTATTGGAGAAAAGAAAAAAGTACTCAGCATATTAGTTTGGCGGTCAGAAAAGAAAAAGAAAAAAAAAGTCTCTATAATCTAAGATTAGTCAAGCAGACGAGAAAATTTTATTTTCTCTTCGTGGGATGATGCAATGCATTAGAGATTAACATGTTTACAGGGCCAAAACTATAGCATGTACCAGGAACCTCTGGTCATGAGGGAGGAAGGCCTAGAAAACTTGAGGCTGACTTTGCCATTATGGTGGCAAATTCATTAAAGCTAATGACACCATCTCCATCTGTATCAGCCTCTTTGATCATCTCTGTTAGCTCCTTATACGTTAGCGGTTGACCCATTTTGGCCATGGACCCTGCTAGCTCTGCTGCAGTTATATATCCATTACCGTCACGATCAAAGGACCGAAAAACCTCCAATAGTTGCTCTTGGTTTACCAAAATTTCTTCATTCATGTCAGGCAATATAGCACTGACCAATTCATCAAATTCCACGGAGCCATTTCCGTTTGAGTCCATGTTGGCAAGCAGGACATGGATTTGGTCACCTGAGGGCTTGAGGCCTAAGGACCGGAGGAGGGCTGCGAGCTCCAAAATGGTGAGGCTGCCATCTGAGTCCATGTCGAATCTTGCAAAGATGTCTCTTAACTGGTTGAGTTGATCAACTGCTAGTGCAGGCATTAGTTTAGTCCTATATTAACAACAATGACAACTAATAATATGACACAATGTGCACAAAAATGACAAGAGAGATTGTAACACAATGTGACAATTGTGGTGCCGCAGCAGCAGGAGGAGGAGGAGGAGGAGGAGGAGAATGTGGTTTGAGAGAGAGGAGAGAGAGAGAGAGAGAGAGAGAGAGAGAGAGAGAGAGAGAGAGAGAGAGAGAGAGAGAGAGAGAGAGAGAGAGAGAGAGAGAGAGAGAGAGAGAGAGAGGGTGTGATTTTTTGGGTGGTGATTGAAAATTTGAAGGCTAAATATGGTTGTGTGGAGACACCTAAGGACAGGAAAATGAGTCGGTGGTTTCGTTTTTGCCTTTTTTGTCACACGCATATGGAACGGAAGGCTCTCTTTTCATGCGTGCCTACTTCTAGGAAGGAAGCTAAATTTTGGCCTTATATTCTGGCATTGTCTTTTAAAATTATGCCCCGGTTTCTTGGTAAGATCTGAATTATAATTTAGAAAACAATAAGTTCACATTAAGTTCTTCATTTCTTTTCATTGAATCAATGCACCTTAATCAAAAAAAGGAAAAGATTAATTGAGGTATATTTCATTTGGTCAAGTGCAAGGCTGGATCCCATGTACAGCTCAGTTGAGGTGGCTTGGTCTCTAAACCTTCAACACCAGATGCGTCGAGTATTGCAATTATAGCAAAAGATTTTCATATTCAAATATATCAATCCTATGATCAAACAAATTTCCCAGCTGAACAGCAGCAGAGAGTGGTCAGTTATTCTAAAATGGTACATGAATCATCTCCCTAGCTATAATCTCCACTTACAACAAAAAACACGTACACAAAGTTGAAAGTTGTGTTCAAGGCTGTGGTGGTGGATGTGGTGGAGGAACCTCTTCACTTTGTTTAACCTTAGGATCAACGATCACCTTTAGATTTGGTCCAACTTCCAGATCATGATGAGAAACCATGCACTGCAGCTGCCTGCACTTGCGCTTCAACCACCCTGCACAGCTAATCCTATGGCCATGGTTGATGCTCTCCAATGGCCTCAGTACCGTCTGATCACGACTCAACTTCCGCCCCAAAACGCACGACAGAAACGCAAGCACCGTTAGGACAGAGATCACTGCAAAGAATGGCCCAATGGAACCAGAACCAGATGTAGAAGAAGAAGAAGATAATGGCACGGCTTGCGGATAATTACTGCTCAAGCTTTGTCCTGCTGGCTGCTGATCAGGCAGAGTTTGTGATGATGTTTCCATGGCTCTTGTATGTCTATGTTGTGCTTGGTTTTTGTTGTAAGAGTTAGATGATAAGCTAACACATTTGCTGCCCCGCTCTGTCCATAAGTGCCAATGCCTATGAGTGGAAGACAACGTGGAAAGGGCTTAAAGCAGTGGCTTTCTTTTTCATCTTCTTTATCTTTTCTCTACTTTTAGGGTGTGGAGTTTGCTTTGCTTATACATGGCCTCATCAACAAAGCAGACTTATGCATCATCCTGTTCCTGTATAGATAAATATTGAGATTCCTGTGTTCAAAGTGAATCCCATGTCATGTGGTTAGCTTAATGTATCTCATCTTTTTTTTTTTCTGTCAAAAAGGCAAAGAACAAAAGAAAACCTTAAACTCCTCTCTCCACTCCACAAATACAAACAGCATAATCAAACGTTATTTGAGTTCTTTTTTAATTAATACAAGCAAGATTCTAAACTACTCTTTATATAAAATAATGAACTTGTCTATCGCTTGTACTAAAAACAAAAATAATAAATCCAAAGAAAAGTGACTACAAAATAGCCCCAATTGCATAATTTCGGGCCCAACTTAGCTTTGATGAAATTAATTTCAGGCCCGACGGTTTAGACGGCTTTGGGCTGGAGGGATTATTGGCTTCAGTTCGCATGTACGATCTGAGCTGTACAAGCTGTGGGTCCCACTAAGGATTCAACATTCATGGATGGTTGAGATCATTCGCATGAGGTACAATTTATTTACGAAGATGGAATATCAAACGATATCCGAACCCCATATGGTCATTTTGCAAACAAAATGAGATTGTCCTCAGACGACATGTCGTTCCCATACATCGTTTTGTCCTCCAGCTGCTGGACAGAGATCGCGCCAGTGTTCAGGGTAAAAACGTAAATTCAAACAAATCAGTGATCCCAAAATACCCCTGGAAAAGTGACTGTACGACATTCCGTCCGTGGCTTCCTTATTAGCAAACAAAGAGAGAGGGAGAGAGAGAGAGAGAGAGAGAGGCTCTGTGTGTTGTGTGAGTGAGTGAGCAAAACCCGGTGACGTGATTCTTCAAATTCCTGGTTTTCTCTCTCTATAAATACACGTATGTGTAAGTGTAAGTATGTATTATTATAATGTTGTGAGATCTGTTTGTTTCTTAGATTAGATCTATGGTGGTTGACACGTTATGTTCAATCGTTTGCAGCTACTGACCTTTTGATTTTTTGGTTTTTGGTTTTTTTTTTAATGGAATAATTTTTTTGGTGGGGTGGAGTCACTGGAGGCAGCGGTTCATCGATCTCTTCCTGAGATTTGTTGTGAAAATACAAAACATGAATCGGTCGATAAACCTCTGCATCCAGCGCTCACTCTCTCATTCTGGTGTTTTTCTTTTTTCTTGTATTTCTGAACTTGCTCTGTTTGAAGTTTGATGTTGTACGAGCCTCTAACCGGGACCCAGAAGGCAAAAAGTCTGTTAATTTATTTCTAGAAGGTAAAGACACAGACTTTTTTTTGTTTGTCATTTTTTGTTTCTCTGCTTCCCCAGCAACCAGAATGGTTGGTGATTTGCCTTTGTTATCTTGTTTGTATTTGCTGTTGTTGGTTGGTTGGCTGCAGGGAATCAAATTGGTGGTTGGTTGCCTTTTGTTTCCTGAATTCTTAACCTGCACGCAGATGATCTATGACTTGCTTTGTTCTTAAAGTTTTATATTTTATTGTACAAGTTCAATGTATTGATGTAAATTTTCTATTTCCCATGCTGGTTAACAGTTTTGTTTGACCTGAAAGTTGATTATCATGTGGTGTATATATATATATGTTGAGATGACTGAATTTTTGGACTACAAATCTTCCTTTCAAAGATTTACTCGCATGTCTGCCTCAGCAGAGTGCGCAGTGGGTGTTTCTGTGATCCATTGTTTTGCTCGTCATAATGGTTATCATGATACCAAACTGATGTGCTTCTCATTTTTCGGTGAGAAGCTTTGGGGGTGAATTAAATGCTTAGAATTCTTTATTATTTTTTAATCGTGGGTAGAATTTTGTCTTCAAGTAACCTTACATGTAGTCTTTGTGATGGAACTTGCTCTTTCAATAGAAAGCTGGGTTTTCTGTTGTGTTCTTCCTCTTCCCCTTTCGCTAGAAATCTATGTATACTTTTTATGTTGTTCAAAACATTTTGCTTTCTTTTAAGTTTAATACTTCTGTATTTGTGGAATTAAGTTGTCTTCTTTGCTTTTAATTGATGTATTGTTTCCAAATTATGTATGCATGGATTTTAATGCTATGTCACTTTTAGTCTTATGTATTAATCTTTTTCTCCCCTTTTCCTTTAGTCAAAGAGAGCTGAAGGATTGGCTAAAGAAGGGGAATTTTTTTCTTCTTTTCCTTTTTATCCTCTTTTTTGGTTCTTGAAATTGGATACTCATGGTAATTAATCGGCTTCCAATTATTTTGTCATTTTCTTGAGCAGATGGTCAAAAGTTTGAACTTGTTTCTTTCTCTTTTAATGGATAAAGTTCCTTGGAATGAAAGTCTCCATTTGGGAGACATAACGTCATTACTGCATGAACGTGAGGGGAAATTACAGTTATGGAGTAGCAAGTTGCCAGAGAATCTTGTAGGTCTGATGTTACTTCTAGAATCTGGTATCAAATTCCTTGTACCATAGTTAGAACTAGTAAAGCAGAAACAATCGTATGGGAACCAATCAGATTGTGGAATTGTAGGTAGGAGCCGGGGACAGGGTCAATGTTTGTAAGCTGTGGATATTCTGTTCAGCCCCCTATTTTGATTCATTGCCTTGTAATTCTATCGAGTAATATAAATTGTTTGCGGTTTTTTTTTTCCCGCTCCCTCTGCCATTTTGGTCAGTTTCGACGGAGATTTGGCTTCGATGTTGTTCTGGTTTCTGGGATTTTAACAATGAAATCACCCATCTGATTGTGGCAACTGCTACTGGTTTATTGCATGTACCTGGATTTCCAATTTAGTGTTTCTTTCTTAAACAGGTTCGAGATTTAGTTGCCCGTGGTTTTATGGGATCTTGATATGGTCCCCAAACCATGAAAAATCATGAAAGTGGCAAATAACTTAATTCTACTTTCGTGCTGGCGTTTTGTACTCTCGTTCTTGGTTATGGTAAGAAACTCTCGTTCAATGATTTGTTTCATTGAATATAGGTTAGATCTGTGTGTTGCATCATGAGAGGACCCCACAACAAAACGATGATGCTTTTATTTATTGACGAAATAGTTGTGGCGATAATGAAAACGACATTGACGATGGCTATGAATCTTATTATGAGAAGGGGAGGATGGTGGTGGGGGCTTTGCAAGGTGTGCCATTAAAAATGACCACCATGGCCATGCCATGTTGGTTGATATTATGAACGATAACGAAGGCCAATTTGTCATATGTATATGGCTACAGAAAACGGGCACTTGCAAGTTGCATGCACACAGAATCAATTGTCAATTATGCAACTGGTTTGGTTTCTGTATGTTAGGCTGCTTATATAAACAGAATATATAACTCGTGTATATCATCTGACTTTCAGGCATGAAATGGACATTTCGAATGTGGAAGTGGGACGTCACACCAAACCCTAATACAATTACAGACCCATGGCTATATGTTTGTTTATTTTCACAAACCCAAGTTGAGACAAGAACTAGGTTTAAAATTTTAGATGTATTTAGTTTTGCCAAAGTTGTTGACTTGCTCTCTTGTCTTGATATGTTTTTATCGGGATTTCAAGCTTCTGCATTTATTAATGATGGTTTTTCAAATCTCAAAACTAGCTGAATCTGATTAATTATTATGCTTTTTATGAAAATTCAACATATATTCCTTTCCTTTGCACATTTTCTCTTCTTCATTTCAATTCTTCTTATCATTTAATCGTATAATGTATCAATAGACTCTCTTTTATTTTAAAGTCTTCTTTCTCTTCACGCCTACAACTTCTTCCTTGTGAGGTTCTTACAAAATTGACCAATAGACTTTTGTTGTTGTCCTGTTCTTTTCTTGTGATGATTCCATCGAACATGTCCTTGTTGCGTAGGATGTTAAAACTATCTAGCTACATGTACAAGAAATAAAATAAAGGTAATATTTTCGCATATAGTAATGAATGCTATCACACATGCATATGCAAACAAAACTCTAGCTCCTTTGTCTTTTTATAAATTTATGTACTTATATTTGAAATTTGAGGTAAATGCATGGCAGAACAAAAACAAATTAATCATTTCCAAACTCAGAAAAACAAAATAACACAGTTTAATTACAAGGATTACCTTGAATTGTTTTCTTGTTTCTCATATTGATGATTGATCACAAAATAGAGATCTTTTAACAACCCAATTTGCTTAGCTAAGCTAGGATGAAACACAGAGCTGACAAAGTGAATAATATATAATTAAGCCTCTTGATAACCTTTTTCTTCATGCACCTGTTGACATTGAGTTTGAGAAGAAGCGCTGAAAGAAGGAGCTACAACAACAGAGGAATAAACTTTACAACTACCAAATGAAAGTGCACAAAGCTTATTTCTATCCTCATGATCATCATGATCTTGACCAGAGGTATTACTACTCGAAGAACAAACTATTGTTTCTTCAACAAGTGTATCGAAATCGATTCCTCTGATTTGGTTTCGATCCCATGGATTAATCTTCATAGACGAGGATCTTGCAATTGCATGGTTCTTCATGATTGCATGCTGAAGGAGCTGATAAAGCCTCGGATTCTTTCTCAAGATGCTGCAATTTTCTTCATGAGTATTCATGATGTGACATGGAAAGTTGGTCTTTGCATTCCTTCCTCTTAGAAGCCTAGCAGCCTTATCATAAGCCAATGCAGCCTCCTCTGCTCTATCAAAAGTCCCTAACCACAACCTCAGCTTCTGTGAAGAGTCCTTGATCTCAGCAACCCATCTCCCTGATGGCCTTTGTCTCACTCCAAGGAACCTTTTCCCACTAATATTATTGCTGTTCACTTTTCTCATGGCACTAATTCTCTCTTTATTTTCTTGGAAAGTTTCTGTTTGGAATTGGTCATCAGCTGGGACTTCTGTGCTGTCTAAGCTGTCCATGAGAGTAGGAGATTACAAGGGTTGGTTTAGCTTTAAAACGAAAGGGAAGGCATCTTTGATTATGTATTATTATAGAATTAGTGACTACTATAAGAATGATGACAGGGATCATGGCATGTTGATTGTCTCATCTGAGTTTGTTTTTTCCCACCAAGTAATACCATATATTTATAATTAATTAATCAGTATTCACAGAACTCCCAAGAAAAATGCAGATTCTTATCAAAAGATTAACATATATGAATAATTTTGAAAACGCCAAGACAAGTGTTGATAAGCATTAATGTTTTGGTCTCTTCTAATTACCATTATTATAAAAGACATGGATGGTAGTATGGAAAGGCGTGGATGAACGGTATGTATCTTCAGCATGCATTCGACAGATTTATTTATATATCCTTCTGTACTTATTTGACCAGATTTTAAGTTATATAAATAAAGTGTGTTTTTATTTTTTCTAATGATTAGATGCATAATTAACCTAACTTCAGTGTCATAATTAGCCTATCTAGAATGAGATATTTGTGGTTCCATGATGGAGGTGTTGAAAGGAAAGGAACTAGTTAGGTAGTTTGGCACATAAGATAAGACCAAAGGTGTAGGATGCAGAGTTGTAGTAGCTAGCATGTTTCCTAGGGTTTGGCAGAACAGAAAAGGTTGAAGATGATTTGGAATTCTCCCTCATGAATAGGTGCGTTCAATAATTGACATGTGTCCAAATCTATACACCGTGATCATGCAAATCTTAGGGTAGTTTGGTATTTTGACAGCTGCCAGGTTGATGATCTGGGATGGAATATTTGGCTCAGCCAGTTGCAGAAATGTCCAAAGGCAATGAGGTGTCTACAGAAGCTAGGCTCATCGTGATTAGTATATTATTAAACTCCCCAGATTAATACTCCAAGTGGTATGCATAATGCATCCAACAGCTTGAAACAAAAATCACACCTCAAAAGCTCAAAATCAAACAGAGGCACGGTGTTTCTTTCAAACTTATATTCAACCTGCCTGATGCTAATTTAACTTTAAAATACTCCCAAGTTTGGCACTTGTCACATAATGGATGTCTTTTTTTAAGTCTCTAATGCAGAATATGCTCTCTGTTTCATTGGTTTTACTTGTATTCAAAATTTGAATATATACCTGCAGAATTCTTGTCTTCTGAAAATAATCAGAATATTTATTAGCTTTTTTTTTTTTTGGATTCTTCATGTGCTTTGTCATTGACGACCCTTTTTTTTAATATTATAAACTTGCTTTCTTTCACTCTCCCTCTCTCTCAGCTGGTTCTTGGCTTGGCTTGGCTTGCTTCATTTGTAGACATGGGAGTCTTGTTTTCTGAAATTTCCTACACCTAAAACAAATAATTGCTTTGGAACCAGCCAAATGCCAAGATTCTGAATTGGATTTCTCATGGATTTGCCATGACATAAAGAAATTGCCATGACAACCCTCTGTTTTGTTTCCAAATTAAAATAGTTAACTCGCCATAAAATAAATTTCTAGCCTAAGTCATCATGCATGAGGGCATTGAAATTTAAAATCTTCAGACTAGTCATTGCATTGGAAGTGCATATAGAATAGCACAACAATTGTTTAAAACCATGGTTGGTAGTTGACTTGAGATGGCATGCAACACCGATATGAATTAGACCCTAATACAGGTTGCACCGGTTTATAAAACAATTTTATGGAAATTGACTTGTAGTCTCAGATGTGAAAGTTCTTGAGCTACACATGCGTAGATGAATATGACTACGAGCAGAGAGTGGTACGTATGTGCTTAAGTGATGCATTCGATGTTTTTCAAAAGTTCTGCACATATTTGGAGTGTCTGGTATAGAACCATGGCCTTGCCAATGTTGCCTGATTGTGTCATTGTTTTGCTTGATGCTTTCTAACTTTTTGAAACTGAGACTGTTGTTGTAACAGAAAGCTCAAAAAATGCAAGGGAAACATATAGAGTGTACAAGGTTGGGCCGGAACCCAATCAATCACCTGCAATCAGACACCAGATACTGGTCCACTTCAAATCCATTTCTATCAATAAAGTCCTGCTTTCCAACAAAAAGAACAGAAAATTCCAGCTTTCTCTCTTATCAGGTACACATCTAAATTCTAAAGGGTACATATACAGGTCCAAAAACCCTTAACACCTCTAGTTGTATAGTAAGATACTACAAAGGACTTGGTATATCTAAAACCAATGACATGTACATCGCATACAATATATTTGCCAAACAGAGAGTAGTATTATTAACTAGAGCTAGAGGCATCCGAAACTTATAGCAGCAGGCACTTCCCTTCTAAGCTCGTGTAAAGCGTGCTGTCTTGCCTCTTCTTCCTCCACCACTTCATCACTCTCATCCACTGATTCACCACGAATTAATTGTCGGACAGGATTTATCACAACCTTCTTAAGAGAAACAGCAGTCTCCATCAAGAACATGAGAATTTTGACTGCACTTTGACGACCACGATACCCAACAATTTCCACAACCTCCAGGTGATGATGGGAGCATGTGTTAGACGCCTCTTTAAGATTTACTTCTGGAAATATGAATTGCATCTGCACCAACAAAGCAAACTGTCAGGAGTGAGACCATTAAACAAGAATCAAGCATCTCTCAATCAAAAAGAGTGAACAAAACCTTTAGCACAAGCTTCTCCAGGTAAGAACATGCTTTCATGAAACAATTTATTTGTTCAAGAATCAGAATATCCTCTCCCAACACTTCCAATTCCAGATGCTTGATATTTGGTAATGTTTGAACAGAAAATACTTCCATATCAACCTGAAAGGGAGGTAGAGAGTAAGGAACTATTAATTATTAAACATGCTGGGAAATTTCCATAGGAGGGGGAACTGTATACAATCCAATATAAATAAAACACATCATTTTCACATGTACTAGTACTTACCATTCCATTCAAATCTAATCCAAGAGTATGAAGCTGAGAAAGACAGCCTGAAAGTTGAGTGAATATCAGACCCCTGTAATCATCAGTAAGGATGCTGTCACGCTCTGATATCGACACCTCAACGAGCAACGGGACATTGCTCAGCACCAATTTCAAAGGATTCCCAGAATAGGAAAATGATACAAGATTTGCGTCCAAAATCTCAATGCTGTCCATACTATGCCAACATTCTATTGCCAAAGACTTCAATTTCAAAGCAAAATGTGAGCCAACAATAGTAACACTAGTCAGATTTGGGCAGTTAGAAACTTTCAATTGCTCAAGACAAGGGCAGCTTGACAACACAAACCCAATATCTCCTCTGGTCACCCCAATGCTATTCAAAGAAAGATCTTTGAGAGCCCGAAATTTACTGAAACCAGAAGCTTTAGAAAACCCATTTCCCAAATATAACAATTTGTGTGATTGTGCAGAAAAGTCTAGCACAAGATCCTGAACCCATTTCTTTAGTGCAAATTGGACCCACCTGTCAATGAAAGGTGTGTGAGAAAAATCCAAAGGGAAACATACCCTGAACTTCTCAATGGTTGGGCCTGTATGCATCTTCACCACACTATCCACCCAATTTACATATCTCCAACATTCCTTATCTTCGGAATCTTGGTCTTGGTAATGGCTGCAATGGGTTAAAGGCTTCATATTCTTCTCAAAATCAAAATCAAGCACCAGACAAGAAGTCCAAACATATCGCCACTTGAAAGAAAGTACACTAGTTGCTACAGCTTCCTTTAAGGGCAAGAGAGACAGAATCTGATCCAGAATATCATTGGGCAAATTCCATAAGTTGTCCTGATCCTAAAGAACAGAAAACAAAATTAAAAATGTTACTGGATGTTATTTTGTTTCATAGTTGTATGAAAATTATTGAACATAATGAAAACACAAGGAAGTATTAAGAATTTGGGGGGAAAGTCCCTTCAAAAGTGAATTCATTCAAACCAAACGAAAGCAGGGGAACAGGAATCAAACATCCACAAGGTAGCAACATAAAGAGAGAAACTAGTAACTAAACCACAGATCAGTTTAGTAAAAGAAAAGAAAAAAATTCAAATCGAAGATGGGGCTTAAAACCCATCAGAAACTAAACCCCGAACAAGAGATGGCGGGGTTCGGTTGACCCAGAAATTGGGGGGTAATTAATGGTTCTATGAGGTTATAAAATTCGTTACATTTTCCTGTAAACATTCAGAAATTCGAAGTAATTAATGGTTCAATGAAGTAATTGAATTCATTGAATACACAAGAATCTCTACGTTTTCCTATATGTATTCAGAAATTTGAAGTAATTAATCGTTCAATGACGTAATTGAATTCATTGAAAACACAAGAATCCCTACATTTTCCTTTATGTATTCAGAAATTTGAGGTAATGAAATTATTATATGCATCGAAAACACAATTATCTTTACATTTCCTTGTACCCATTCAGAAATATATGAGTTAATGCATGCAGCGGCGTAGCCAGGAATTCTCTCAAGGAGGGTCAACATTATTAGCCAAGATAAATGGAAAAGCCATACCACCACCAGACTTGGACTATGATGGTTTAGAGGAGAAGAAAAATGCATACAAGGATGTGCCATGAGAATAAAACTATGAGATAATAGATTAATAACCTAAAATCTTAAGTATCCATTATTTTTCTACATAAATATTTTAGAATAAGTTCAATTATATAAGAAAACTTTGATGGTTGTTGTTCCAAAAATATTTAATGGGTTTTAAGACAATATTGGAAGATGTTGCTAATTAAACTGAACATGAATAAAAACACTTACGTGGTAGAAGGTCAAACCAGTTGCTCTACCACCCACTTCCATATGCTTCATCAAGGGTGGAATCATGAATTTTTCAACGGGTGGGCTAGCTAAAGTTATTAGCTTAAAATTTAATGATTATTTTTTTTGGTACGTATACTTACAATTTCTATAGTCTTTGTAGAAATAAAAGTAAACATTAAATCATATAAACCACGCTCATAGCTCCATAAACTAATTTTCAATAAGTTTTAACATAAACCAAATAGGGTTTAACATTATAGTGGATTAGGCTTTTTACCTAGATTGACCTTAGTTCCTTCATGCATTCATATCATACATGAAAAATTGTTTTATGTAAAAATATTGACTAAGTATGAAAATTGGGTTTTTGGAATAATCATTTTCTGAAGATAATTTTTGGCGGCTTTTATTCCTCACACATCAAATAAGAAAACTTGATTTTATGGGAATTTAGTATGAAGTATATATTGACTTAATGAGCCATCATTTTTAGCCTAAATCGTATTTTACACTAAAACCGATTTTTCATATTTTGATTTGGTGGGAATTTGATTTTCTAGTATTTTTATTTGAATCCAAATGGGGGGTACTTCCTTATTTACATTGTAAACTTAAGTAAATGGAGTAACATAAAAATAAATAAAAGTAAAATGACAAAGACATTTACTTAAATGTTGAAAGTGGAAATAAGGTAATATGTACACTGTTACCATTGGGTCAGAAGGGTCAATAAGATAATCTGTACACTGTTACCATTGGGTCAGAAGGGTCATATGACCCTCCTAGGCCTTAATTGGCTCCGCCCTTGAATGCATGGTTCTTTCAAGTTCTTGATTTAATCTAATAACAGCTACACGAAGCATAGTCTGCATTTACCTTTTGTTCCACACCTTCAGAAATTGGGGCCTTTCGATTCTCCATAAATGTCTGTTGCAATCAGAGCTAGTGGGTTTTCTTCGATTTCTTGAATGGCAAGCGACAGAAAGATGGAGGGTTGGGGTTGGAAATTGGAAGCTTCTCGAGAAAGTTACAGAGAGAATTTGGGTGTTTTGTAGAATAGCTAGTTTGTGTTGGTTTGGGTCGTGTAATGTTGAATTCGCGAGTGAGTTTGTGTTTGTTGCTTTTACAGAGCAGAGCAGAGAGTTTGGGCGTGCTTGGTAGAAGCTGACTGAACCGCCAAAGAGAGATTTCAAAAGTCACTTTTCCTTTAAGTTTTCTTGTTAATTACCTAAATACCCTTCCTCACTCAGCCTGAAAAGTTGGAGGTTGCCTTTATAAATTTTTTAATTATAACTAAGTTTATCAACTAATTAAACGGATTTTCACCCCAAAAAAAAACAAACTAATTAAACAGAGCCACGGCGTTTTATTGTTTTTCTCTCATGATATTATTATTGTTGAGTTATCTTTTAGATCTCCAGTATAAAGTTGAATTCCATTTAATTTAAGAATTCAAGGTTCATTCTGGGTTTCCAATTTACCGCCACAAGTGAATTATGTTTCACAAGCTGTTCTTTTTGGAATTTTTTTGACAGCTTTTCTTCTAGGAAACACTAATATGGAAAGAAGTGTGGTAACATAGTACAATCACACCCTTAAAGTCGTCTCAGCTGGCATATCTTTGCATAGCCTCTAACTCTAAGCATGAGATGAGATGAGATGAGGGCATTCGTTTACATATAAATATTAGAATATAAAGGCAGGCAAGAAATGAGTTACAAAATAGACCAACTAAAATCGATCAGAGAATTACACGAGAAATGATTCAATTCAGGGGTACTCTTCTCTAAAATCAAGTATGCACATTAAAGCAAAGATATGTTTAAAAAAGAAAACAAATTTATAAGCTAGTTTATTAGTCGGAGCCAGGAAGAAGCTTTCGACCAGACTGAGCTGCTGTGCTGCTACTAGTACCAAAACGTCTAACCGCTGCTGGGATGACTCTTGATGGTGAAAGCACCTCAGCAAAAGATAAATTGTACGAATCCGCCCCTAAACGACTTTGTAACCATCCCTTGCTTCCAGAGAACCCATCTGCTACAGTCCAGCACTTCTTAAAGCCTAGACTAGTCAGTGCTCTTGCAACTATTTTGCCTGAATCCGAGTACCTATAGTTGTGCATGAAACGAAAAACAAGAACAAAATAATGTCATGACTTGATCAAAGAGCAAAACCAAATCAGGTAGTAAATAATGAATGTGGGTTATGAAAGAACCCACGAGTCCAAGATCACAATGTTGGAGCCCTTGTTAACTCTCTTGAGATAAGAAATCTTCAAAGCTGCTATCTCAGCCTCTACTTTCTTCACATTTCTGACAAGACCCCGCAATTTGCTTGGTAGTTCTTCTAAACTGAAAAATTCGAGGCAACCGTTTATAGTTAAGAAGATGCAGAAAGGGTACAAACTAAAGGGTTGAGGAGGCTCGCCAAATTACTCACGGAATAGCAATCATTTTGCTTTTGGCGCTAGATGGTAGGCGGGGAATGCCAGCCTTGTCCTTGTCCTTCTCTGGTCGAATATCGATCAGAAGGTAATTCTTTGTCGATATGAGATCAAGGGTTTGAGCAGGGGTAAGCGAACCTACAGTTAGTACAACAAAGCCATAGCACATTAGTCCATTCCATCCTTAATGCAGCTTCACTTGCATTGCACGCATTTAGTATCATATGAGATGAGTAAATCATAAAATGTGGAGACAGATCACAAAATATGCAACTTCAACCCACTCTATATCTTCTAAACATTAATTACTTGAATTCCAAATTGGTCAATATGGTGCATAAGCATAAATGCGGTTATATTCAAGCAGAAGACGTCATTGTTTATTCTTGTTTCAAATATGTTTAAACTTTTACAGACATGAAGCAATTCTATTTCATAATAAAAGCATGTACCTTTGTAACCTCGGAGACTAAATGAGAGAGCAGACCAGATGGGAGGAAGAAGAAGGTATGTGAGGAATAATGCTCCAGCAGTTCCGGCAATCACAATAGGATCTGCTGATGAGATGGTCTGAATAGTTGATGAAGCAATGGGCTTTGCCTCTTCAATTACTTTAGTGGTCTGCCCTGCTGCATCCGCTACCGTCTGAGACCAAATTTATCATTCAGTCAGTGCATTAAATTTGAGAAAACAGGGTGTTTAGTACCCAAATCTATAGCATATGATTATCCATTTTCCTATATATCATGGATTTACAATCTTACTTTCTCCACATAAAGGTCTATGAAAGTGTTAGGAAGCATGTTCCACTAATAATGAATAAGTGCATTGCATAGTGAACCAATTCCAACTACAATAAATTTATCAATACATTCACCGACGTAGTGAATCTAAAACTACTACATTCCAACTACATTGCATTCCTTACTAATAATCTAAAATGCAGTCAGGTTGTTGAAATGGAACCCCAATTCAAACCAAACTAACTACTAAAGGCAGATTCTCCACAACATTAACAAGTTCCTTCCAATTGCATGAGTTATGGGGCTTGATTTCACTTCATTGTGTGCAGATTATTGCAGCCAAGGAGTGCCTAGCTAAAGAACACTGCGCAACTATTTAAGCGGAAATTGGAGCAAAGTAAATACCTTTGCAGCACCGAGAACAGGCTGCGTATCAAAGCCTGAGCTTTGTAATGCTTCTTGGGCTTTCTTTGAAACCTCAGAAATTGTAGGAGAGGCTATCTTCAGCGCCTGCTCTCCAGCCTGCTTCGCAATCGGCAATGCCACATCAATGCCGGGCTTTACTGCATTTAAAATAGCTTCAAGAACCCGCTCTGTTCCTTCAAAAACAGTCGAACCCGCTTGCTGAACCTGATCAATTGTCTGCTCCACCTACCAATTCAAGCATAAAAATAAAAAAGCCGGCAGCTTTAAGGAATTGGTGCCAACCCAAATCAAATAAAACAACTACAGAAGAACCATTGTATGGCTGCAATTTCAAATTGTCAAGATGAAATGTATTTACTTCAGTAAGGGAAGAGACTATCTGATCTTTGGAGAGGCTAAAAGCCTGGGCTTCAAAGGGAGAGGTGAAGAGGGCCAAGAGAGAGATGGTGGTTGATGTTGGCAGTGATGCAGAGGTGGGTCTGAATTTGGGTTTGAGAGAACATTTGGTTGTGGCTGATAGCGAAGGAGAAGGAGAAGGAGGCAGGGAAGGTCTTGGGGTAGCTGAAGCCCTGATGGCCATCTCCACTGCCATCTTTGCCATCCTCTCACAGTGTCAGTGGCAGGAGTTGAGTGTTTTGACTGTTTTTTGGTTCATGGATCAGAAGGATTTTTTGTGATGGGAAATCAGTGGCCAAAGATAAGGGAAAGTTTTGGCCAACGACAAAATGGCCTTCTATGATTGGCTTGTGATGTCCTATGTGGCATTCATTCTAATTAATTAAGTAAAAGATTCCATTCCCAAAGAAGGTTGCTAGTATTCCCTTTCCAACTAATCCACTGTGACCTCTCCACCAACCAGTAATGCTGATGAACTTAATGATACATTGTGCAATAATACTACTGAATACCAACTCACTACACCAAATTTGAGATACTAGCTTGTTCCGCTAAATTTGACACCAACTAATATGATAGTGCTTCGTTTGTTTGCATTTTGACTAATTTGATAGTGCTTTTGCCATTAGCATTTTTGTTACAAGCATTCAGAATATTCCTCAACCATAGTGTAATCTATGGGTTAGATATATTGTTTTGACTTTTAGCCTCAAGCCCCAACCATAGTGTATAGTTTTTGAAAGTTGTGCATTGTTTGACTTCAATTATACAACAATAATGCAAACAAACAACAAAGACAAACTATATTTGGGAAAAACTAAAGTGGTCCAGAAATAAAGTAGCCTTCGTCCTCCATTTAACTGAAACCTCCTAACAACATATAGCTTTTCAGCTTCTTTCTTCTTTTCAACGTATAGAATTCTGTTCTCCATGCATGAGGAGAGTAGGGTAATTAACACTGACATGGTGTTGGTGGTGCCGGAAGTCCATTAAAAACCGTAAGAGCAATTTCTGGTGCAACTGTGGAATTTCCCAATCCAATGCTCTTGATTGTAGATATAGACTTCCTCAAGGCGCCATAAGCTTCCTCAGTTTTAACTGCATTATTAGTAGCTTGTTGCGTGTCAAAGTAGTCTCGAGGATCCTTCATACATAATAATTGAGCAACAGGAAGATGGTGCGGTTCTTGAACATCCTCCATCTCAGTCGTCCGAGCAATCCTACCAAATCTCTCCTGCACACCACTCTTATCAACCTCCTCCTCTCTGGACCGCATTATATTAAATGCCTCTGCAACACTTGACGGATCTTCTAAATCAACTTCAACGATGCTTCTTCCTTGAAGAACAACAGCGCCTTGCCGGTTAAGGTCTTGTGATAAAGTCCCCCTCCTCTTGTACACCACATCCCGAAAGAATATTATCCCATGATCTGGAAGGTGCGTATAATCGTCTCCTTGGTCAGCTTCCATGTCCAAAGTTGGATCGACTCGTCGAAGCTTTCTACGAGCTTCCCTCGCCAATACCTCATCATCCTCCAAAAGCATTGCCAATTCCTCATCATCGGCGGCTTCTGCTTCAATTGCAGCAGCATTCCCTGTGCTTTGGAGGTATTCAGCTCGAAAATACTTTGTCCAGAAGTCTTTCTCCGTCGTCTTACTGGGAACCAGAGCAAGAAATGCCTGATGAACAGCTGGTTTCAGGGCAAAGATCTGATACTTAATCTCTGCTGTCAAACTGAAAGGAACCTTGTTCGTTCGACCATCCGTCATGGGTTTGGTGTCCATTATCATTGAGCTTCTGAAACCAGCCCGTTGCTTGGGCTTTGGACGGCTATCTACATCACCAAACTTCTTCCTAGCTTCCCATAACTCAGCTTCTGTTAAGACACCACGCATTACATACTGCATATGAAGTTTCTGCAATTCACTGTTTTCTTGTAATAGCTTCATACGGTGCATTATTTCTGCTCTACTGATTTGTTCATCAGAAGAAGTAGGTTTTGCAGCTTCTCCACGCTTAGCAGCGGCATTGGCTACAAACTCTCGGCATACATGAAGATCACGAAAACTTGCAAACTCAAAGATGTAAGTTTTGTCCTTTTCACTGAGATAAAGCCAAGGTGATCTATCTCCTCCCTCCTTAGTGTTTTTTAGACCTGTAATTTGTTTAAAGTCCACATCGAGCGCTTGTTTCGCTGTTGACGCGTTTGGCCTGAACACAAACTTGTTCTCCGTCATAGTTAAAACCCCAAGAGTCCCAGGATCTCTCACTGTGGCCTTGTAATTAGCACGCTTCACCAGTTGCATACACCACATCTTCTTCGCAATTGGTATTTGGTGCAAAGAATAAAATTTCTCAAAACCTAAAAGAAATTCGAATCAATCAAAGTTAGAAAAATCTCAGAGGAGTTTTAGAGTACTTGAGGCAATGTTGATGTGCAGAGGTGCTTTTATAGACCGAGGGAACGCTATTTAATTGGTTTTCTGTCTCCAGTTATTATTATTATTTTCCCATTCCTGGTAGGATTATTCGAATTATTTCCTATTCCTAGTACGATTAGGATTGGCATTAATTATTACTTTCTTACTTCTCACGAAATCAGATTCTTAATTATTACTTTCTAGTTTTAAGTGTTGTTTTACTCTTTTGCCCTCTTTTTAATAAATTCTGAATATGGGGGGTTTTTGAATTTTTAAGGCCTTATACCTTTTTATATATATATATATATATATATATATATATAGTGAACACTTTTTTATATATAATTTTTTGCCAAATATATAGATCAACACTCGGAGAGCACGTTTCTTTTGAAATCTCCCTATTTATATGTAAATGAATGCCCTCATCTCATAGAGGCAAGGCAAGCAAATACTATAAACAAAAACTTGGAGGTCAAACTCTATAATCTCTCGAGGAGTTTGGATACCAAATTTTTTATTTTTGGGTGCGTTTTCGCGTGAGGGTTAGTTCTGGTATTTTTGGTTTTCCAAAGTTGACTAGGAGATTTTTCCAAAGTCGATTAGGAGACTAGGAGACTAGGTTCTCTTCTCCTAGTTTAATTGGGAATCTTGGAACCAACCCATCAAGTTTCTTGCTTGCGTTGCGTGTCTATATATATGTGTGCGTGGCCACTTCCAATATAAAGCAACATCTAATTCCCTCCTCCTCCTCCTCCTCCTCCTCCTCCTTTGTCTTCAAAATAAAAAGATGATCAAAGATATTCCCCACAAGGATCATGATCATGATCACACAGAAGCAGCTGCTGCTTGTTCTACTACTAGTCCACAAGCAATTGCACTCCAAATTGCCTCCTCTGTAACTGCAACTGCAACTGCACATCAAAATAATAATAATATTGATCAAAGCCCGTCCACCTCAACTTCCATTGACAGAGATACGGACATTGGTATACGGACCCGATACCAACTGCAACTGCTCTGAGAAACAAGAATCCCGCTTCATCAAACGACAGAAGAAGATTGAAAAGATTAAGGCTGAGGAACAAAAGGCAAGAGAATATGCTATGGAGGTGCTTGCAAAGCTAATGCCTTCCCATATTGAATTTATAGTCCTTTAGGAGGGTCTAGGCAAAGAGAACATAACATTGTTATTTTCATGGTCATGAATGAAATCAGTCATATGTATGTTTTTTAATTCTTTGGTGAATGCGAATGTTATTAGTCAATTGGTCTTCTTTTATTTCTTCGGTGAACACAAACATTCTATTCCCTATAACTAAATTGGAGCCAAAGTTCTACAATATCCATTCTTGTAAGTTCAAAATTCTTTTAAAAAGAAAAGAAGATTGAAAAATATATATATCATATGAATTGAAGATATTATATTATTAACCATCTTTTTGGGAAAATAAATTTAACCCAAACAGTTTTATTTTTTTTATCTATATATATAAAGCAAAAGAAAGAAAATGGTGAAACATTCAAAATTTCAGAAAATGTCCTTGGTTAATACAAATATTAAGAATTGAAATTATTAATTAAATGAGGATAATATAGTAAATTCACACTTTTTTATATTTTAAAAAAATAAAAATAAAAGAAAAATCAGATAATGGCCTATTTTTATGGAACACAACTACCCATTATCTTTTTTAATTCTAAAATAAATTTTAATTTTTTTAAAAATAATTTCTTATAGGCGCAAAAGCACGTGCAAAGAGACGTGTAATTAAATATTACCAACCTATGTCCCATTTTGCACATAAAGCCAAAGGTAACACATATTAGTATTACCTGTGTGCCCATAAAATATTAGAGCAACTTTGCACACAAACCAAAAAGAAAAGCAGAAAAAACGAAAGATGAACCAGCAACCTACCAGCTTGTGCTAAGGTGAAGCTCTGTTATTATACTTATCTTCCCTAGCCTTACCTACCTTGTCCTTAAGCAGACCAGTAGAGGAGCCCTCTCTCTCTCTCAACCACAAATTCACGGTGCCCGGAGGGAAATGGCGTATAAAAGCCTGGACCATGTCACCGTCTCCGACATCGAAGCTCTGGGGATCGAATCAGAGGCTGCCAAGAGACTCCATGCAAGTCTCACTAACATCATCCAAAATTACGGTCCTGCCACTCCCGACACGTGGCGCAATATCACTGCCCATGTCCTCAGCCCGGAGCTTCCCTTCTCCTTCCACCAGATGTTGTACTACGGTTGCTATAAGGACTTCGGACCCGACCCGCCCGCCTGGCTACCCGACTCGTAAGTTCTCAAAATCAGTTGTTTTGATATTTCAGTATTTGGTTTTACGTGGAGTGAAGTTCGTTTAGAAAGGGAGTGTTTGGTTCCCTGGGAAGATTTCTATGTTCTGCACAGATTTCTATTTTCTTTTCGAATTAACATAAGGAATAATTAGACTTAGTATTATGAATGAATTGTTTACATTTGTGTATAATTTTGGTGGTTGTCGACATGGTGAAGCATGAAAAGAACTAGACTTGTGATGTGGGAAGTCTTAGAAGTTCCTGCACTGAGATTTATGTGTGTATTTGTTTGTTTGTTTGTTTGTTTGTTTTGTGGCTGTTATGGAAATAAATTCTGAATTTACATCTCTTGTTGCGTGGTAAGGGAGACTACAAATTTAACAAATGTTGGCCAGCTGCTGGAAAGGCGGGGAAAAGAATTCTTGGGATCTAGATATAAGGATCCCATGTCCAGCTTTTCCGATTTTCAGGAATTTTCGGTGTCAAACCCTGAGGTAGTATATATGAAATACTGAGGTTGATTATCTATTTGGAAAAAGAAAAAAGACTTCAAATCAATTAGTTAGATACTCATTTTACATATCCAGTTCCTGTCTTCTATTGGTCAGGTTTATTGGAAAGCTGTACTAGATGAGATGAATGCATCGTTTTCAATACCTCCCCAATGTATTTTACGTGAGAACCTGTCTGGAGACGGCCAGTTATCAGTTCTAGGAGGCCAATGGCTTCCTGGAGCGTTTGGGAATCCAGCAAAAAATTGCTTGAGTTTAAATCGTAAGAGGAGCTTGAATGATACGATGGTGATATGGCGTGACGAAGGAAATGATGATCTGCCTTTGAATAAGATGACACTTAAAGAATTGCGCACAGAGGTTTGGTATGCTAAGTTTTATCGTCTTGAAGTAATTTCCGATAGTTAAATCTATTTTTTATTTGCACCTATCACTAGAAATATGAATATGTGTTTATGATGGGCTATTTTTTTTAACAAGTATATTTGGTGCTATAATTTGTAGGTTAGTTGCACATGCACTAAAGGCACTGGGTTTGGAGAAAGGATCTGCAATCGCAATTGATATGCCAATGCATGTCAATTCTGTGATTATCTACCTAGCTATTGTTCTGGCAGGATATGTGGTTGTATCAATTGCTGACAGTTTTGCTCCTCCTGAAATATCAACAAGACTTAAAATATCAGAGGCAAAAGCCATATTTACTCAGGTTCATACCTTTTCACCGGATAGCCTAAAATATTGCATGCTACATTTTCATTTTCCATAATTTGTACGAGCATCGTGATGTGTAAACTGGAGGCATTTGAATTATTATAGTACACTAATTTTTCATTTGAAATAGCTCCCTGCAGTTTTGCCCTGTATCTTACTTTCACATTATGATACATAAGTTTTTTTATTTTATATATTTTGATGGGAGATTGCTGTAGTAACATGTATGCTCAACTTGGTAACCCAGTATGATCTACTCACTGAGTTGAACAGGTCAAACATGACTTACAAATTGAGCCTTTTGAGTCTCAAGTCCTTTCTTAATAATCTTCCCTTTGCTTTTTGGCTTTTTGGTGGTTAGGATCTAATAGTTCGTGGCGAGAAAAGTCTACCCTTGTATAGGTGAAGTACTCTAGCTATGAGTTGAAATAGACTGTTTATGCTTTTCTTTTCCAGACAGCGTCTCTCAAATTATAGCTTCGAATGTGCAGTAAAATTGTGGCAGCACAGTCTCCTATGGCAATCGTTATCCTTACAAAGGGTTCCAATTCTAGCATGAAATTGCGTGATGGTGACATTTCCTGGCATGATTTTCTTGAAACAGTAAAAGATTTCAAGTACGTACTCAAATTATTTCTTCTTGATCTTTTTTGTTTCTAAACAGTATCTAAGTTAATGAAGTTGTTTACTTTGTCATTTTCTAACTATAGCTTGCTTTTATGCATCATCAATTTTTTCCTTTAAAGACTACTCTTGTAATTCATAACTGGAAAGGCACTCTTAATAATTGAAATGAGTTTCACTCATATAGATGAACGCATGAAGTCTCTGCCTTTCAGGGATGTGCTTGATTTAGTTTCACTCATACGAGACAGTATCATTAAAAACTCATCCCATCTCCATTCTTGGTTATGGAGTACTTTTTTCTTTGACTTTGTTATATTGGACGGGACCTTCTTTAAGATTGTCAACTGTGAGCATGTTTGCGTACTTTAGAATTACTTGATTCATAACATAATTATCTTGAAAGAGCATGATTATCAGTCTGATCTCCTTTGAAAAAATAGTGAGGCTCTGATGCAATATTGTATTTGTTCATTTTTCAATCTGCAGAGAAGATGAATTTGCTGCTGTAGAACAACCCATAGAAGCATTTACAAATATCCTCTTCTCATCTGGAACTACTGGTAATTTGACCATTGAAGCATAACTTAGAAAGTTTTCCTTTTGTAATTTCATGTTGTTTTTTCATGAAAAATGAATTTCCTTATGCATTTGGTTCAAGAGTAAAAGAGAGGAAACCTAATAAACCATTTCCTAGCTTACTAAATTGTTGCCGCCTTCAAAACTTAAAAAAGGTTATATGGTCCAGTAACAGTCTTAATTGGGCTTGATCTTTACTGTAGGGGAGCCAAAGGCAATCCCATGGACCCATGCGACTCCTTTCAAA